GTCATCGCCGTGTTTGCGGAGGTTCACTTTGGACGCGCGCGACATGATTTCGGGTGAACAGTTCGCGCGGCGCCGCGCTTGACTTGAGTTGAATTTGAATCACTTTGAAGAGATTTTGTCTGTAACAGTACGACTGTACAGACATCTTAACTATCCGACCATGCGTGATCAGCATAGAGATGACCAGATGACAAATAATTCTTGGCTAGAAATTGCAACACCCATGGAAAGGAAGTGTTTTGTTAAAGTTTGGAAAAACCTGGGGGATTAGTTTGTTACAACAAAAAAGTGGAGACCCAGGTGGTTTTAAGATTACAGAATATGTTTTTCCACCATTTATTGGTTTTAAACTGATGTATCATTTTGAAGTTAAAGCAATGTAACAAAAATTAAGTAACAAATTAAGTATTTGATAACTGGAAAAGAATATATGAGCCCATCGGCTTACAGTATACTGATGCCCAATTTCTAGGCTTTATTGGTGATAATGGACAGGATTGTTGGACCATTATTGCCTTTTCAGCTCATTAGTAGAGGACAGAAACTAGCCAGACAATAATGTGTCAATTGTTAAGTGGGCAAAAAAAAAAAAAAATTTTTTTTTTGCTATTATTCTTGCCAGAATAAAAAAAATAATTGTAGAGTAACCCATGTTCTGTAGTCATTGATATTTAACTTTAATAGGTAGAACTGTCCGAGATATAAACACAAGTGAGTGATGCATCAAACTTTAAATAAAAAAATCTTGAATAGTTATAAAACTTTATAATCATTCATTAATTTTCTTTTTGGCTTAGTTCCTTTATTAATCTGGGGTCGCCACAGCGGAATGAACCTCCAATTTATCCAGCATATTTTTTACACAGCGGATGCCCTTCCAGCTGCAACCCGTTCTCATTTACAACAACAGACAATTTAGCTTACCTATTTCACCTAAAATGCATGTCTTTGGACTGTGGGGAAAACCGGAGCATCTTGAGCAAACCCACGCAAACACGGGGAGAACATGCAAACTCCACACAGAAATGCCAACTGACCCACCCAAGACTTGAACCAGCGACCTTTTTGCCTTGAGTCGAGAGCGCTACCCACTGCCCCACCCCGTCACCCAATTTTGTAATCATAATAAATTATAAAAATAATGAAAAATAATTATTTTTAAAATCTTGAACAATATTAAAGATATGACGTAGTTCTGGAAACGTTTTACTTCTCTGTTTATCCGTCTGACTTTACAGTGAGGTGTCTTTTGACTGGCCCCTGATGTTTTAAAGAATATCACAATGACGAACGCGTCTAGTATTAAAGCCTCATCCATTTCGTGAGGTGCGCGCACAGTCAGCGGAGGTGTGCAATGCGGAGCCAGGCGAAAGTATAAATCAGCCTCAAAATGTTTGTTTCTTTTGTTTTTTTGTTCCTGCACTTCAATGGTGCATCTAACCTGTCTTCAGTACTGTTCTATTTAAATAATTTTATTTTACCACAAATTTTGTGTTTTTGCATTTTCTCTTGCATGCTTTTGATATTGTGATATAGGTCTTAAATTTAATACTTTATGGTCTTAAAGAGGTCTTAAAAAAGTCATGAGATGATATCTGCAGAAACCCTGCAGAAACTGCAGAAACCCTTTTTTTTAAGACTTCAATCTATAATCTAAAAAAAAACATTATGGTAAGAAGACATAACTTAATTTGTGTGATATTATATTTATTAATAATATGTTTAGGCACTAGGCAGTGTTGTTCTGTGGTTTCTGACGGTTCAGTTCGCGAATTAGGTAATTAACAAAGTTTCTCCATAATTTGCAAGTGTTTTTTTTTATTTATTACATCATCTTTTGATCGTACAGATAAAAGAGGCATCATTTGAAATGATAAAAAGTCGTGCATTTGTTTATATTTCTGTTATCTTTATACTCCAAATAACAAAACATTGTTTTTGTAAAATAACCATGGTGCGCAGTGGGTATTGCTATCGCCTCAAAGCAAAAAGTTTGTTGGTTCAAGCCCTGGCTGAGTCAGTTGGTGTTTCTGTGTGGAGTTTGCATGTTTTCCCCATGTTGGCGTGGGTTTCCTCTATAGGTGCTCTATAATTATTATCTATAATTAATGCTGTTTACACAGTTTTAAAAGTGTTTATAGTATCTTTAAATGTGTTATGTAAAATGTGTTTTACTGCCTGGATCTTGTCTGACTCCGCATTTATGGATAATTCCACCAATACCGCCAAGCTAAAAAAGTAATTTGTAATTTTGTAATTTGAGTAGTTTTTACGAAGAGTAATTTGTACTTTTACTTGAGTACTTTTTAACACCAGTACTTTTACTTGTAATTGAGTACAATTTTAGCAATGTAACAGTACTTGTAATTGAGTACAATTTTTTTGTACTCTTACCACCACTGCTCTTCAGTGAGAACACACAGTTGTTTTTCTCCTCCTACCAGCACAACGCTTTTCCCAAGAAACAATGGAAATGCAAACATTGATGGCTGCTGCAATTTTAAAAAGGAACAGGATGTGGGTATAGTTAGCAGGACTTGAACCTGCGGGAGAATACCCCAACTGATTTCTAGTCGATCGCCTTAACCACGCAGCCATGACTACAAGACTGTTCTCCCATGTCCTCATGCCTAGTACACGTGTTGTGCATTCAGATGAAACTTTCAGCAAGCGATAGCTCAACGGCAAAAGCTGTGGCTCCACAAAGAGTCTCTCATGCCCGAACACAGACTTGAACCCTGGACCCTCTACCGACTCCGCTAAAGCTGGGGAACAATAGTCTGTTTTGGAAGGGGAAGAAAAAAGCACAAGAAAAATAAGAAAATTTGAGAAATTGAGAAAGAAAGAAGCGAAATTAAGGTTATATTGTGTTTTTTTTTGCCCACCAGAAACTACTCAATGCATATATAATAGTACTGGTTCAAGAAATATGTCCATAAATAACACTTTGGGTAGATCACAAGGTTCAATCCCCGACTGGAGCAGGTATCTAACCAGGTTTAGTAATGGGTCGATCATGAACATTTCGTTCATTTTAAACGAATCTTCAATATGATTTGGGAACTATAAGTCCTCTTAGGGAGTGATTTGTTAATTTGCGCGTGCGTACATTTGTGCAGGTGGTATCGTTATTTCAAGTCTTCATCACATTTCGTGTCGTTCATCGCGGAAAGGCAGAAACCAATCATATGCGTTTAGAGCCGAAAAAGATTTGATCCGTTCACCTCTCGAGTCCTCTATCGGGTCTGAGTCACTCGTTTATTACGGGCCAATCATACGCGTTTAGAGCAGGAAAAATATTTGATCCGTTCATCTCTCGAGTCCTCTATCGGGTTTGAGTCATTCGTTCCTCACGGGCCAATCATACGCGTTTAGAGCTGGAAAAAGAATTGATCCGTTCATCTCTTGAGTCCTCTATCGGGTCTGAGTCACTCGTTCATCATGGGCCAATCATACGCATTTAGAGCCGGAAAAAGAATTGATCCGTTCACCTCATGAGTCAGGTCTGAATTTGGAGAAAAGCTCCGCCACTGCACTTGACACCACCAACACTGGTTTAAAGTGCAGCTCAGGTTAAATACTCTCTCTCCTCTCTAGAAAGATCCAATGATTGCTACCAGGTGGACACAGTTACCTGCAGGGAGAGAGAGAGGAAAAACACAATGCTCATTGTCCACCAAAAGATATGTCTCAGGACGCAAGCCCTGGGATAACCGCTATCACCCTCCTGGAGCATATACAGGCAAGAAATCCATTAATTAGTTGTTATGGAAGTTATTCATTAAGCTTTTAATGTACTACACAAAATGGTAATCTAAATGTTTATTTTACCATTAGTTTTATTTAATATATGTTTTTTTATTGTTTTATTTTTTTAAGGTGAATTGCTGGGAATGGAGCACCTTTACAGCCAGACCGGCAAAACCCTGACTCCGGTGCTCCAGAACCCAGAGGAGGAAGACAGGCTGGTGGAGGAAGTACATGACGAGGATCTACAAGATGACGGGTTTGAGGAGGAGATCATGGAGGACATCACAGTTCCAGTGCTGTATGAGGATGACCCCTGCCGTGATCTTAGAAACAGCCCCTTATCTTCGCCTCTGCCTCAGTCCCCAGCATTACTGGAGCATATACAGGCAAGAAATTCATTAATTAGTTGTTATGGAAGTTATTCATTAAGCTTTTAATGTACTACACAAAATGGTAATCTAAATGTTTATTTTATCATTAGTTTTATTTAATATATGTTTTTTTTATTGTTTTATTTTTTTAAGGTGTATTGCTGGGAATGGAGCACCTTTACAGCCAGACCGGCAAAACCCTGACTCCGGTGCTCCAGAACCCAGAGGAGGAAGACAGGCTGGTGGAGGAAGTACATGACGAGGATCTACAAGATGACGGGTTTGAGGAGGAGATCATGGAGGACATCACAGTTCCAGTGCTGTATGAGGATGACCCCTGCCCTGATCTCAGAAACAGCCCCTTATCTTCGCCTCTGCCTCAGTCCCCAGCATTACTGGCTGAGCCGTCCACATCAGCTGGTGGAGAAGGACAGCTTCCTAGCCCAGCCCCTTCAGTGCCGTCACAGCCATCCAAGTCTGGAGACAGTCTCTCTGTTGAGGCTCAGGTAAGATATATTAAGAACTTAATTTGATTTAGTCTTTTTTTATTCCACATATACTAAACTTATTCTGTATTTACCAGGGAGTAGTCATTGGACTTGATGGCATTGCTGGGTTGGACAAGGTCCAGGATCTGGCTGCTTATTTGGTAGGTCTTCGTGTGGCTCCTTACCTCACTGACCTGCAGGTGACAGAGGCCATCCAGCTGTGGACAGCTCTCCTGGATGTTGATAAACAGCGCATCAACTACCACCCTCGACATCAGCCTCAGCTGACACATGGGCGCTTTAAGGCACCGAAGCGCTCCGGAGTCACTCCAGGTGTGGAGAGCGTCAAGCGCTGTCTGATTGGACAAACTGGGGGTCCAGCATAGTGGCCTAGCACCAGCCGCTTGGTTGAGGCCATTTGTACAAAGCTGTGTGCCGTACACAAGTCCACTTCCAAGAAGGCTGGTGTTCGCACGGCCAGGTGGTCTAAAATACTGACCGATTACCACCACATCCGGGATCTAGTGCTTGGCAGTCGCAGGCTGATGGATGAAACAGTGATCCAGCTTTTTGAGCTAAACCAGAAGACGCTCATTCAGTGGTAAGCAAAGCACATTATTTTCTTTAAATTACCTGAATACTTCTAAATTAATATATATGAATAATACATATCATTTATTATCAGGTTTCAACGGAGGCAAAAGGATCAGGAAATGAGTGTACTCACTCAGGGACTGACTCCACTTGATCCAATTGCTGTGGCAGATACGCAGCTTCCTTTGCCGAGGGAAAAATTGGACGAGACACCATCAACATCAGGCCCCAAACACCAGTTTGTCTTTCCTCCAAATAAAGAAGGACAGGCACCTCTTCTTCGACCTGGTCGAAAGACTGCTTCTGCAACCACCACAGTTTGCTCCTTCCTGCCGGATGCCACCACGGTGTGCTCCTTTCCACCGGCCCCCACGACGGTATGCCCCATCGCGCCAACCCCCACCACAGTCTGCCACATTGCACCGGCCCCTACCATGGTGTGCCCCGTCACACCGACCTTCACCACAGTGCGCCCCATCTCGCCAGCCTCCACCACAGTGTTCCCCATCATACCAGCCTCCACCACAGTGCGCCCTATTGCGCTGGACCCCACCACAGTGGGCCCCATTGTGTCTGCCCCCACCATGGTGTGCTCCTTTCCACCGACCCCCAGCACAGTGTTCCCCATTGCACCACCCCCCACAGCACCAGGTGTTGTGCAGCCCATTTCAGGACCTGGATCATTGTTTGGCACACTTGTTTTTAACCCAGACATGAGTGTGTCAATGGTGATTCCATCATTTGCTGCACCAACATCCAGTGCAGTCCCAGCTTCACCTTCACCTGCTGTTCCTCCACCTGCACCTGCTCCACCTGCACCTGCTGTTCCTCCACCTGCACCTGCTCCACCTGCACCTGCTGTTCCTCCACCTGCACCTGCTCCACCTGCGCCTGCTGTTCCTGTGTCCCGTTACACCCAGAGGAACAGGCGCAGACGGGAACAGGAGAAGGAAAGTGTTTGCAGCAAATGTGGGCAACCAAAGACTAAGGAGTTTGGCCATAGCCGATTTGTCCTTAGAGGACTGGTTGGCAGAACAGCGCCAGCAAAATAAAGGACAAACTCCAGCTCCAGAATAAAGGACAAATTGCTGTATATATTTTTGTAAATGTTACATGGGTACTCTCTCTCTCTCATTTTATTTAATTTTTGTGTGTTAATATTTAGCATTTTAAAGTGGCACTTATAGGCCCACTTTTATTTTGTCTTGTGTGAACTTATTTAATATTTGTGTGCATTTTATGTAAAAATATATTTATATTTCTTAAAAAAATAACATTTTATACATTGCTTAAATACTATATTTTATATATTACGTGCCCCCACTCTTGCATTTTATTATGTATTTATATTATTGTTTAATATATTGTGTATATAAAACTAAATATATAAATAGAGTATTGTTTTTATATAATGTGTATAATAAATAAATATATTTATATATAGTATTGTTTTAATATATGTGCACAATAAATAAATATATATTGTATTGTTTTTATTTATTGTATATTATATAGTTTATATATTAATATATGTTTTTATTTTGTTTTTTATATTTTTTAAATTGTTTTGCGATTTTAATATTTGTATTCATTTTAATAAACCATTTTGCATATTACTTGTTTTTGTGTGCATTCATTTAAAGTTATTACATAAAGAAATAAAACATATATTAATATATATATATATATATATATATATATATATATATATATATATATAGTATATATTTATATATTAATAAATAAATATATATAATATACTTATATATACATAAACATGCATACATATGTTTAATTGAAACATTTGCATTCATTTTTAATTAACGTAATATGCTTTTTAAGAACATTATCCACATAATAATAGTAATATCAATATAATTGCCCGTGTTACGTCAGTAAAATTTCAATAAGAGCGCATGCTTACATTATGCACAGTCACAAAGCCGCGAACACTACTGCAAGCGAAATTTGTCGCATTTTTCCGTGTTTTTGCGGCTTGTTCGCTTGCGAGTGAGCGAGAAGATTGGACCCCTTCCTATGCTAAGCGAGCGCTCTACCATTTGAGCTAATTCCCCTCAGAAAAATTCAAATTGGTAGTTTTTGGCGTGGTCAAAAAAAAAAAAAAAAGATCTGCTCTGTGGTGGCCTCTTTGCCCTGCCCGCCGTTTAGTCGTCAAATTGCCTGGAATAGCGCGCTTTTCTTTTAAAGCCCTACCTATTCCTGCACCAGTAAACGTGTGAGGAGCCCTGCATGCCGAATGACTCAGAATGACTCAGTTACTCAGAAATCAATGCACATTGGCACCACCTTGGATTGACATTCTGCTACTTTCCTGCAAGGCCGTTTTTTTTTTTTATTCATTCCCTACAGCTCTGACAGCACCACACAACAAGCTTGAGGTTCCATGGTGTAATGGTGACCACTCTGGACTCTGAATCCAGCGATCTGAGTTCAAATTTCAGTGGGACCTGTTATTTTGCCAGCACCGCACAAAAAAAGCTGGAATAGAATGTTAATCTCTTGAAGGCCAGGGAATGACATTTACTCTGGGCTTTCTAGTGCTTTAGGCAGGAAGTGGCCGGTTAGCTTAGCTGGTTAGACTATGGTGGTAATAACGGCAAGGTTGTGGACACTGGCCCAAGAGTTAGGTGACCGAAAGTCACCCAAAAAGCCTAGCTGCTGCACCCTTAAGTCCAACTGCTTCCACTTGACCAAAAAGCTATCTTACTTCCAGATGGTCACGTCGCTTCTGGTGACGATTGAATCAGGAGAGTTTCAATTTAAACCTTTTTCGCTTTAAAAAGGCATGAAAACAGAGGTGGAGAATGCAGTCATTGTTCCCGCTACCTCTCCCATGCAAAGCGAGCGCTTAACCATGAGCTAATTCCCCTCAAAGCAATCAATAATTAGCGATTTTCGACGTGGTCAAAATAGAAAAAAAAGATCACATTTGCTCTGTGGTGGCCTCTTTGCCCTGCCTGCCGTTTAGTCGTCAAAATGCCTGGAATAGTGCGCTTTTCTTTTGAAGGCCCTACCTGGTCCTGCTCCAGTAAACGTGTGAGGAGCCCTGCATGCCGAATGACGAGTTACTCAGAAATCAATGCACATTGGCACTGCCTTGTATTGACATTCTGCTACTTTCTGGCAAGGCCGTTTTCTTTTCTTTTTTTGTTTTTTACATTATTTTCTCTTTGGCCCGGGCAGCACCAAGCAGAAGACTTGAGGTTCCATGGTGTAATGGTTAGCACTCTGGACTCTGAATCCAGCGATCCGAGTTCAAATCTCGGTGGGACCTTGTATTTTTACCAGCACCGCACAAAAAAAGCTGGAATAGCATTCTTATCTCTTGAAGAAAATGACAGTTACTCTGAGCTTTTTAGCAAACGTGGCAGAAAGTGGCCGGTTAGCTCAGCTGGTTAGAGCGTGGTGCTAATAACGCCAAGGTCGCGGGTTCGATCCCAGTACTGGCCAAACTTTTACCCTTTAAGGCCTCAGAGGCATTCAGGATTCTGCTTAGTCTCACAGACATGAATGCTGCAGGATACTTGTGAAAAGGCAGCCGAAATAGCTCAGTTGTGAGAGTGTTAGACTGAAGATATAAAGGTCCCTGGTTCTATCCCGGGTTTCGGCAAAACAGTGATGTTGTTCTATTTTGTGCACAAGGGTCAGGTGACTGAAAGTCAACCAAAATGCCTAGCTGCTTCACCCTTAAGTCCACCTGCTTCCACTTGACCAAAACACTATCTTCCTCCCAGATGTTCACGTTGCTTCTGGCGATGATTCCAATGGCCTGATCGACAGAACTCTATAATGCTATGTATTTAGTGCTTTGATGTCCCACTGCGGACACGCTGCTGAATAAAAGAAAACTGTGACTTGATAGGGCTTCTGAAGGGTTGCAATGATATGTACTACACAGAAATCGGCAAAGCTGACGTAAGTAGTTTCGCTTTAAACCCTCAAGGTGCCACCAGCTTTGCAATAAAAGCCAATGTAAAAAGGCATGAAAACAGTGGTGGAGAATGCAGTCATTGTTCCCACTACCTCTCGCATGCAAAGTGAGCGCTTAACCATTTGAGCTAATTCCCCTCAGAGCAATCAAAAATTTACGATTTTCGACGTGGTCAAATTAGAAAAAAAAGATCAAATTTGCTCTGTGGTGGCCTCTTTGCCCTGCCTGCCGTTTAGTCGTCAAAATGCCTGGAATAGTGCGCTTTTCTTTTGAAGGCCCTACCTGGTCCTGCTCCAGTAAACATGTGAGGAGCCCTGCATGCCGAATGACGAGTTACTCAGAAATCAATGCACATTGGCACTGCCTTGTATTGACATTCTGCTACTTTCTGCAAGGCCGTTTTCTTTTTTACATTATTTTCTCTTTAGCCCGAGCAGCACCAAGCAGAAGACTTGAGGTTCCATGGTGTAATGGTTAGCACTCTGGACTCTGAATCCAGCGATCTGAGTTCAAATCTCGGTGGGACCTTGTATTTTTACCAGCACCGCACAAAAAAGGCTGGAATAGCATTCTTATCTCTTGAAGAAAATGACAGTTACTCTGAGTTTTTTAGCAAACATGGCAGAAAGTGGCCGGTAAGCTCAGCTGGTTAGAGCGTGGTGCTAATAACGCCAAGGTTGCGGGTTCGATCCCCGTACTGGCCAAATTTTTACCCTTTAAGGCCTTAGAGGCATTTCAGGATTCTGCTTAGTCTCACAGACATGAATGCTGCAGGATACTTGTGAAAAGGCAGTAGAAATAGCTCAGTTGGGAGAGCGTTAGACTGAATATCGAAAGGTCGCTGGTTCGATCCCAGGGTTGTAAAACAGTGCTGTTGTTCTATTTTGTGCACAAGGGGCAGGTGACTGAAGGCCCTACCTGGTCCTGCTCCAGTAAACGTGTGAGGAGCCCTGCATGCCGAATGACGAGTTACTCAGAAATCAATGCACATTGCCACCGCCTTGTATTGACATTCTGCTACTTTCTGGCAAGGCCGGAAAGTTTTTTTCAGTCCGGGCAGCACCAACTGGAAGACTTTTATTAAGCTTGGCAGTAAGTGGCCGGTTAGCTCATACTGCCACCTGTAAGTCGTGGTTATTCTTGGTCACACCGGCCAATCACTTTGTGAGCTGGAACCAAGATTCACCCTATTCTTGGTTAAGGCAGCCAATCGTGTTCTGTGTTACAATGAACGCTATGGCCAATCAGAGCCCTTATACCATCCATGATTTGTACTGTAATAAAATATTTCGTCGCGGATTAATTTGGAAACCAATTGCAAAGTAAGTATTTTTTTAACAAGGTGGTTTAAATGAATAACCATTACAGTAACGTTAATTACTTCAACATAATTATTATATGATTGTTATAGATGTTTTATAACGTTATTTGGTAAGATTAATGTTAGCCGACCAAGCAAACTGTACAGTTTTACTACAAACATTTTAATGCAGTTATTAATTAATTAATATGGATCATGCATGATTGCATCACTAATAATAAACCAACAATATAAGGGTCACACATCAATCCATAACTAATAATAATGTTATTATTATTATTAGTGATGGATTAAATTGTGACCCTTATATTATTGGTTTATTATTAGTGATGCAATCATGCATGATCCATATTGTTTTATGCTTTATGATTAGTGATGTATTATGCGTGAGCATTATTAGATTAGTTTATGATTAGTGATGTAGTGATATGTGAGCGTCATTATACTATTGTTTATAATTAATGACTGATGAATTGAGCCTTATATTTATTATTAGTGAAGTGATTCATTAATGTGTGAGAATAATGCACGGGCATTATTGTAACTATGGTAGTAAATGACAATATAAAGTGAAGTAATGTATAATAACTGCATTAAAATGTTTGTAGTAAAACTGTACAGTGTGCTTGGTCGGCTAACATTAATCTTAACAAACAACGTCATATAACATCTATAACAATCATATAATAATTGTGTTGTTGTAATTAATGTTACTGTAATGGTTATTCATTTAAACCAACTTGTTATAAAAATACTTACTTTGTAATTGTTGTCCGAATTAATCCACAACGAAATCTGTTAATACAGTACAAATCATGAATGTTATAAGGGCTCTGATTGGCCATA